CCATTTTTATCTCATCTGGAACTGCCTCCCAAGCTTCTGCATCCTTTTTCTTTCTTCCCTTTCTAGTTGGTGGTTTTGCAGTAGATCCCAAATATAAATAGATTTATGAACAATCTCTCCCTTTACCTGGTTGGTATTTCTATTACTGAAAATTATAATAGCTTCAAAAATAACCAACATATGACTCCTTCCAATTTTATAAACCACACCATCTTTTGGAACCCAGGACAATTTACGATTGTAGTGCAGATAGCAATATGATTCATCAAGGAAAACTTCTAGAAGAGTTAGTACGTCATTTTTTTCTTAGATATTTTCAAATCACCAACAAAGATATTATGCCCAATATGCAATATTTTAAGAGGTCTCATGAAGAATATTTTGTTGCTCTCCTTTGCCATAGTGATATCCAAGCTTTTTTAAGTAATGCAAAAGTTGTGCTTTCAAAATTATAAAGCCTGATTCAGATAAATCTATGACAAGAGCTCGAAGGGAAAGAGAAAGATCACTTTTACTTGCAGAATTAATTAGATCATAGATTTTATCTACATATTCTGCTTGAAAATCTTTGGGAGCCTGGTGACCTTGTTTTGATGGTGCAACCTTTTCAGTTTCATTAAATTCAGCAACTATATGATCAATGGTTGCTTTACCAACTCCTGTTGCCAAAGAAACTTCCTTATAAAGATTGGTGCCTTTATTTGTTTGTTATTTGGGTATATTTTTTTGAAAATAAAAGTGAACAGATAAGATAATTATTTTTTTTGCTAGCAGTTAGGACAATTTGAGTACATTCAATTTGGGCCATAATAATTTGAATAATTGTAATGATAAAAAGTTTTTTAAAAAAAGGTGTATGCTTAAGTTAGAGAAGTAAATGAATTCATTTTATATATATAGAGTATATGCATATGTATATGCAAACACTACAGATTGCATTCTTTCTTTCAAGATTATATTATTTCATCTAAATAAAAAAATAAATCAGGATTTATTGGTCAGTACTTCACAAAATGAGTAGAGAAAACAAAAAAAATTATGTGATTAATAGAATTTAAATACAAAGAATTTCGAACAACTCTTTCTGCTAATCCTTTTTTACAAATTCACAAAAAGAAATACTACTAGCTAGAAGAAAAACTAGACTAAGTTACAGTACAAACAGTATTAAAGAAAAAGGAAGAACACTAAAAACAACTAAAAGTTTTATAGAAAGATAGAACATCCTAGCAAATAATAAAAGGCTACAGCACAGATAACTATTTTTTTACAAGATAAAAACTACGCAAAAACTGTTTTTCTAAAAAGTGGGAATATACAATAGACCCTGTACTGCAGATCTGTTTATAAGCATAAACACAAAACAAAACAAACAAGTACGCATCTAATTTAGGCAAAAGAATAAGCTGACAACACAAAACTCAAAATAAACAAAATATAAACAAATACATAAACAGATTATATAAGCAAAACACTGTAGCAACTGAGAATATAATGCAAGAATCAGTGATACAAGATAATCTAAAAACATCTAATAGTATAAACTGGTATGGAAAGTTAAACAAATATCAACAAATCTTTACCAGGATGGAAGATGAATTCAAAGAAATATAGAAAGCTACTCAAATCCTCAAAATAGTCCTTTGGAAGAGGAAAAAGGAACCAAAGAAACTAAAGAGTTGTTACAAGAAAACTGTAACCCTAATAACTACAAAGAAAGTACAAACAATAACGATATCTACAAATCAATCTGGGCACCCAAAGATCCTAAAGAGTATAGATTTAAAATGAAAGAAAAACAGTATGGGATATCCCAAGTAAAATGAGAACTAGCCAAATTAGAAGATATCTTAGTTTCTATAGAAAAGCAGCAGTTGTAGGCATTAGAGCAAATGGCAAAAACAAGATAACACATATACAAATAGAGCCAAAAGATGAAAAAAAAAAGAGCTATTACAAACAATTTGAGTAGAACATCTTGAAGAAGGAAAAATGT